ATATACGAGTCATTGCCAAAAGGAACAAAAGAATATAAAATAAATTTAATATTGTACTTGTCTTTGATGTTGTGTGTCTTCCATAGCACACACACTACATTTTTAACTAATCAAAAGCTAAAGAAGCTTTGCCCATCTGATAACTAATTATTAAAATTGTTTCCTAAAAAGAAAAAAAGGGAGAGATAGGGTTTTTTATGAAGCAAGATACATGTAATGGAGCAAAAGAAAAATATGATGAAGAAGTCGGTAGGGATGGCTCAAATACATACCTGTCAAAAGTCTCTGAAACAGAGAATTTGAGGATGAAGATTCACAGGATAATATTAATTGGCCGGTCACTTCAATAATTATATATTATCCAATTGCCAAAAAAGCTGAAAAGTTCTATCGAAATTTATCCACGATCATAAAATATTTGGTATCGTTTATGTATATATTAATTAAAAAAAAATCCAAACGCGCATGAATTCCATTGGAGGATTTAGTGGAACTTTGGGTCCCATGTGCCACTAACAATATTGCCTTCCACTTCAAAGTGTTCAATGAAATAAATCACAGAGAGGAATTCAAATTGCTCACCGTCTACCTGGCATTTCATTATGATCATAAAGACTCAATGCCGCAATGATGCGTCCGCTTCTTCTTCTTCAATTCTTCTTTTTTTTCCTCATCACTGCTCTTTTCATACCTCAAATATAAAACCCTATACGTCATATGTTTCTTAATATTTTTTCATGTTGTTACTGTTGGCCTCAGACCAATCATATGCCCACACTTGGCCAGTCAATTCGTAATGCTTTCATCATTCTCACACAGTTCAAGAAAACTCTGCTGCAAAATATTCAACCCCACTTCGATCTGTGACTTAAGCAACGTTCTATCTTGACGCAATAATGTGTGTGTGTGCTCTCTCTCTCTCTCTATCTATATATATATAGACTGCTTTAATGGTTTTGCCTGCATGTGAACGCTGTTCTTACTCATGAATACGTGGAAAAATACAGAATACTTAAAAGGAATGAAAGAAAGTGATGATGGGGTCCATACTCCGTAGAGAGAGAGAGAGAGACACTTTCTGTTGTGTGATAGGGTTTTTTAATGGGTATTTCATGATTAATCTGTTACACGATAGTATATATACCACTGAGCTGAGTGTGCGCGCGCCCACGTGTATATATATTTAAGGGAATAACCTTATTTGTGGAGCCACGTAGTATCGGTTTCTCCAATGTTCTTGTCTTCTTGAATGTTCCAGAGCGTGGGGTTCTGGGGGTCCAACACTGCAGAGAGCATTAGAGCATGATAGAGAGAGAGAGAGATTAGGGTTTAGGGGAGAGAGAGAGTGATGAGGTGGATGAGCTTAAGAAATACAAGTGTGAAGAAGCATTATGGGTACAATCACAGAGAGGCTGACTTTTGTGCAAGTAGTGTACATACTGGGAGAGTCATTGATATGATCGAGTGTGTATTAGCGTGCGAGCAAAAGGGAAAATGAAGTGTCACATATAAGCGAAGAGATTTGAATTGAGTTGGCAGAGAAAGAGAGTGAGTGGTTTGCTATTGGTTTGCTTGAAAAGTGGAGTAATAATAATAATAAGATGGGTTTTTTGCTTTAGTTTTCTGGTATTTTTTGTCTAGGAAAAAGCACTTTGGCACTTCTTAAATTCGAGAACCTTCCCCGTTTATGATGATTCAGCATCAACCTCATCATTGCCTTCAGAAAGTGAATTCAACTTTATTCCTATTCCGTCAAATGCTTAATTAAGTCTTACCCTCCCAATTATTTCTTCCACCATATAAGTTTTTTATCCATCTTTTCTGTCTTCATATCAAATTTAATACTATCTCTACTACTTAACATTTATAACATCTAATTATGAGTTGAATTTGATTTTAAATATAACACAGATCTTGATCCACTGTACTAATTTAATTAACTTATAAAATGATCGATTTATATAACATAATGTTATACATAAGTATCTTATAAAGATTATATCACATTTAGTATAATTAACTAATTTATTTAATTTATTTAATCAATTTAAATCTATTAAGCAGCTTTTATATTAAAGATTAGAGAAAGTATACATTATTAATTTAATTGGAGGTATTTTTTTATGCATTTAATGAAATCAAATCTCTCATGCCATGCTCAATCAATATTGGAAGCACGTGTGTTGGTGGTAATATTTATGTTACATTGTTGGCCTGGCTAGTGACTGATAACATTAATGCTATCTTTTATTCTTAATATAAGAATTAATTATAAAACTAATTTAATTCTAAATATAAGATTTCACTCTACTTTATCTAACATATTTATCCATTTTGCCTCTCAAGTAATAACTATAAACTAAAATTTATGTGAGTTAGGTTTTAGGGATTCACTAGGGTGATAACATGCCCTCAGGCTCAATAACCACTTACTCATTGTTGAGCACTAAATGTGAGAACCTCTTTTAGCGAAGATTGAAATCTTAGTTTATTACGTTATGAGAGACCAACTATTTCTGTCCGGCACAATCCATTAACTATGTTTTTTTTTTTTTGATACAATCCATAACTATGTTTTGATTCTACCATCTTGAGCAAATGTAATTGTTTTTTTGGGATAGGCCCACAAACAGAACCAAGCCCATCTTGACATCCATTTTTCATTTCCCGCGAACTAGTCCATCTTTTATTGTATTTTTTTTATTTTTCCGTGCTGTTAAAGAGACTATGCTTGGGGGTAGGCCCAATCATGATAAAAGCCCAAACCATGGGCCTGTAAAGAAATGGGCTCCATATAGCAATCTCCTTCACTAATCGTGGGTTCTTGCAAACTGTTCAAAATGGGCCCATATGTTCCTCTGGCAAAACCCTTTATTCAGGCCTTGGTGGGGTTGGCCCATCATGTCATGTCTCAATCTGATAATTACCCTTCTACTGAAACTGGCCCACATGCCTCACTTAATCCCTTCGGAATCTTCAGTGACCAGACAAGAAAAAAAAAAGAAGGAAAAATCTCTCCTAAATTCAAAGTGTTGGAATTTAGTTAAACTTTTGTATATTAAAAAGAAAAAGTTGGGATATAGAGTGACAACTCAGGGCCTTGTTAAAAAGGTAATGCCAAATAAGGACATTTCATTTGTGAAAAGCTGTTGTTGGCCCAAAAATAATCATGAAAAAAATCAAGAAGATGAAGAAGAAGAAGAAAGTTTGCATAATAAAAATTGAAAAAATAAAGAGTGATCAGATCCTCATATTAATTGTCCAATTAGGTTTTAAACTGTCACTGTATACGTATAAGGGTTATGTTACATTTTGATTCAATTTTAGTTTGGGTCACTCTAATCTTATAATAAGGATTTAGTCTTAAGATTAAATAGAGATACCAAAACTAAAATTCATTAAAAATATAGAGCCATTTGTCAAACACGAACAAAAAAACTATGAAACCATACAGATCAAAAACTATTTATTTAAAACTACAGGAATTAAAATAAAATTTGACAAAATTATAAGGATTAACAATAATATTAACCCTACGTATAAACATATAACACCATGTCACTGTATGTGTTTTTTGGAAACGTGTCGCGGTACTTGTGCCTGCAGACTGTTGAGGTGATGGAGGATCTATGACGCTGGGGCGCAGTAAAGAAAGAAAGAAAGAAAGAATAATGAGAAAAAACAATCAGTGTTTTGAATTGTTAAGACACGAAGCAGAAGCGCCATAGTGCCCGTTTGGATCAGCGATTGGAAAAGCAGCTTATAAAAAAAGTAACTTATGAAAAAGTGAAGTTGATAAAAGTTGAATTGGATAAGTTGAATTGTGTTTGGATTAGAGTTTAGAAAAGCTAGTTTATAAAAGTGAGATTGATAAAAACTTGTTTGGATTATAGCTGAGTAAAAGTAAGTTTGGCTGAAAAATTACCAAAATGGAAACAAAAATGATGCTTGTGAGAGGAAAAGGCAAATGGGAGAGGAAAAAAGGACCTGACATCGCGGGCAACAGCTCTTTTGATTTTTTTTTTCCCGCCAAAAGCTCTTCTGGTTTAAGTTATAAGCTCCTTCTTGCAGCTTATAGGAATTAGACGTTCAGATAGGCTTTTTTAATATAAGTCCAATTACTTTTAAACTTTGCCAAACAGGTTCGATTTGCAACTCAGTTTATTTTAAACTTTAAGCTCATTTTAAGCTGTTTTTGGGTCAGCGCCATAAAACTGGCTAGTTAATGTTAAAGATTCTAAATTGCAACGAAGGCCAATGATTAGATGGTTGAATCTTATAAATATTAGAAAAGCGTCCCGATAAGTTCACGTTACATGCGATCAACAGTTACTAAAATAACGGTAAAAGTGAAAGTGTTCCTTGTTTCTTTGTTATTTAATAGGAATATTGTTTTCTTTTGTCACAAATACTACTTGTTCTTATTATTGCCTATATTACTTAGCTTCGACTGACCTTTTAGATTGGTGAGGCGCAAGAAAATGCCGTTTCAAACCATAATGTTCTCATCATAGCTATATAGTATGGGCTTAGATATGGCGGGTAAATATGACCGTTGTTGCTACTGTTTGGATCTTTTCGATGCCTTCAAGGATGCTGTCCTTTTGTTTTTGTTTTCGTTTTTTGGTTGGCCGGAAGGGATGGTCTTTGCCCTCAAGCATTGTTTAATGGTACAGGAGGAGGGGCCCACCTTTTAAATTGTCGTCGAGAATGCCCTGTTCATGCAGCTCCATGTCACCACACAAAAACGAAACTGTCCTTCTAAAAAGAAACGAAATCTGATACTTTAACGGCTAGGTGTGCCCTACTTCTGTGTTATACCAGCCTGTAAACAAATAAGAAAAATCCCCCCATTAAATCATTTTTGTAAAAACAGAGGGGAGAGAAGAAAAAGGTGTGTCCCTCAACTCCTTGATTTTCGCTTCTTCTACCTCTAGCTAGCGTGGTTACAGTGAAAGAAAAGAAACCCCATTTACCATATCCTTCCTTGTTTGATTTTTCTGACCATCCTTCCTTCCACGTGTGATCCCCTCTCTCTTATTTATTCTTTCAAAGCTCAACCCACCTTTGCTTGTTCATTTTCTCACATTCATTCTCTCTTTCTCTCAAACATTCCATAGTTTTCTCTAGATTTCTTAGGTCATTTTGTTTTCCTTTCTGGGGGAGGTTTGAATCTATGGCTTTGCATTTGCTTCTGCTCCTTCTAACACTCCTTGGAGCTTCTGCTGCTGATGATGGTAAGTGATCTCTTTTTACTTCTTTACTCTCTGTTGAGTTCTGTTTGCTGAGATCCAGGGTTTTCTACTGTACTAGTCTTGCATTCTGAATATTCCTCTGTTTAATGTTCAGTTTCCCCCAAAGAACCACCATTTATCTGATTCCTTACTGTTAGAGGTCTCATTCAGTTAAGGGTATATTTACTGGGGGTGAATCGTTGCACCGTTTCAAGCCTTCCATTTTCACTGTCCAAACCCTACCAAGAAACACCGATAGTGTCCATAAACTCTAGTCTTGCTGCGCATGTTTTTAATGAGAGCATGTATATTTTCTTCTCGGGCTGCTCCTTCTCAGATGCTATTGGTTTTATCAATACTATTAACTTGAAATGATATGGAAAAAGCAGATGGGTCAGTCATTTAATAATTTAACTGCTTGAATATGGTCCCCTATTAGGATTCAGGCTGATTACATGCTGGTAGGACTTTGCTCCTTGCCCTTTCATTCAGTCATTCAATGTGTTTCAGCCCCACACCTGATTTTGTGCATCACTTTATAGCGGCTTACTTACAGTTGGGAGGCTATTACTGGGAAAAAAGTTTCCTTTATTGCTTTCACAATTTCAGTCTCCAAGAAAACAAGAACTTCTTTAAAGAAAAACTCTGCTTTTGACACGCATTTTGGTTAATCAATGAGGATTTGAAAGGCTTGTGACTTATGCTTAAGGGCTCTTCATTTTTGGTTCTCGCAGAACCGTTTATTGGTGTGAACATTGGGACAGATCTATCAGACATGCCACACCCAACACAAGTTGTAGCGATGCTTAAAGCCCAGCAAATTCGGCATGTTCGGTTGTATGATGCTGATCAAGCTATGCTTATTGCACTTGCCAAGTCAGGCATTGAAGTTGTTGTATCTGTCCCTAACGAAGAGCTGCTGGCAATAGGTCAATCAAATTCCACAGCTGCTAACTGGGTCTCGCGCAATGTGGTGGCACATTACCCAGCCACCAACATCACAGCCATTTGTGTTGGCTCTGAGGTTCTGACAGCCCTCCCAAACGCAGCCAAAGTACTTGTCAATGCCATTAAGTACATTCATTCAGCCCTTGTGGCAACAAACCTTGATCGCCAAATCAAAGTCTCAACCCCCCTTCCTTCCAACATCATCCTTGACTCATTCCCTCCTTCCCAGGCCTTTTTCAACCGATCCATGAACTCCATTTTGGTCCCATTGCTTGATTTCTTGCAATCCACTGACTCTTACCTCATGCTTAATGTGTATCCTTACTATGATTACATGAAGTCCAATGGTGTGATTCCATTAGAATATGCACTTTTCAAGCCTCTCCCTCCAAATAAAGAAGCTGTGGACTCCAACACTCTCCTTCACTACTCCAATGTCTTTGATGCAGTGGTTGATGCAGCCTACTTTGCCATGTCCTTTCTGAACTACACCAACATTCCTGTGGTGGTGACAGAGTCAGGCTGGCCCTCAAAGGGCGATTCAAATGAGCCTGATGCTACTGTTGACAATGCTAATACCTATAACAGTAATTTGATCAAGCATGTGCTGAACAAAACTGGCACTCCCAAACATCCTGGGATTGCTGTTAGTACATACATTTATGAGCTGTACAATGAGGATACGAAGCCTGGGCCAGTGTCAGAGAAGAACTGGGGATTGTTTGATGCAAACGGGGAACCTATTTATATTTTGCACTTGACAGGATCAGGAGCAGTTTTGGCTAACGATACCACTAATCAAACTTTTTGTATTGCAAAAGATGGTGCTGACCCTAAGATGGTCCAGGCTGCACTAGATTGGGCATGTGGACCTGGGAAAGTGGATTGCTCTGATTTGCTTCAGGGACAACCTTGCTATGAACCAGACAACGTGATTGCGCATGCAACTTATGCTTTTGACGCATACTATACTAAGATGGGGAAATCTCCTGAGGCATGTGATTTCAATGGAGTAGCCACAATCTCTACCTCAGATCCAAGTAATATCTACCTTCCATGAGATTCTTAATATCCCAAGATTTATAAGTATACATAAATCTTTGCAGACCAAAACTAATCATGAAAAGATATGTAAGCATGTTGAAAGTTGAGATCTACTAAAAAGGATACCTGACATGCTTATGCATCTTTTCATAGCTAGCCTGTTCTACCATGTGCTCATTGAATCTACCCTAGAATTTATCCTAAATATTGGGCTACATTAGCTTTAAATTTTTCATAATTATAAAACTTTTTTAATGTTAGTGCTTTTGTTTGAAAGATTGGAGGCTTCCAAGAACCTCCAAATGCTATTTTTACTCTTCTATTGTAAATACTGCTAATGAGTCCTCTTTTTTTTTTTTTTTTTAAATGTCTGCAGGTCATGGTTCGTGTGTATTTCCAGGAAGGTAAGAGAGATTTGAATCTTTTGTTTCATATCATAAGCTCTGTCGTAATATCATAGAGCCCTGTTTTGGCCAATAGTTAATTGCCTGTCAGTGATTGGTTGTTGTGAATATGTGCAGTCTTGGCAAGAATGGCACCTTGTCAAACATAACAGCACCATCAATGAATTCCACAAGTTCAGATTCTTCTGCCAGCGATTTCCTTAGCTCTGAACTGAGAATCAGAAGCATTTTGATGGTGATAGGATTTTTAGTATGGGGACTGGTTTTGTAAATTTTGTTAGATGGTCACAACATCTGCTACTTCCTTCAAAATTTTGTGGTAGATGCTGCTACTTATTTGTTTGGTAGCGTTGATGAAATCAGTCCGTTTAATTTTGTACAAAGAAGGAAAAACAGCCTAATGGTTTGCATTGAATTAGGCTTCAATCGAACTATGATATCATTATCTGTTTTCCCAAGCCATGCCGAGCTTAGAGATTCATTTCACCAAAAGTTTATTCTTTTTCAATGTAGAATTAATTATTCTTTTTCCTCATCTCTTGACTAATCCCTGTTGACTGGAAAAGTTTGAACTTACTCTCACCTTACAAAAACTCAAATGACTCATAATAAGAGAAACAATTTTATATGCTGTAACACAACTATAACGATACTGCTGCGTTCAAATTTAGCAATGCTGTTTTCCGTTCTATCTTAAGATTTGTACTGAACTCTGTTTCTTGGGTCATACGAAATCTTAATGGGTGGGCGCTGGCGCTGGTGCTGCTGAGGGAGCAGATGAGAAAAAAGATGAGAAAAACTTGTCAGCAAGCACAACATTTGCTGCATCTGAAGGATGAAATGCATCCCAAAACACATATTCTCTTCTGTTCCTGCATAACTTGGAGTTTGGCAAGCATAACCCTCCTACGCTTGTGTCCACATTGCAACAAGAAGTATTTGAAACCTTAAAACCTGCGTAACACATGAGCAACCAAGCACAGGTCTGTCAAAATCATCCTTCCTAGCTGTCCTCTGATATATTGATCAAGAACTATATATTACCGTATGTTGTGGGGTTATTGATCAAATCCAGAACTAAAGGGTAGGTGTCTGCAAATGCGAGTTTTGCACTAGGAAGGCGACGGTTGAGCGTGTGAATTAGATTCTGTACTCGGGAATTGAACTCCGAGACCCATTCATTGACTCGCTTCAAGCATTGGCCGTTTCTTGATTTCACCCTCTGAGAAGGAATGCACCCTAGAGGGCCAAGTCCATGGAACACTATCTTTCTTGCTCCCAGCTCATACAGTCTCTGATACATACATATAGTCATTTTAATGCCATCAGAAAACTGAATCTTTCATGACAATATCACTGCATGTCCAATGTACTTTTCAGAATGGTACGAGTTGATGCAAAATGTAAATGGGCATGATTTATACCGTTAGTTGTTTATCTAAAGTTGATATCAGAAGCTCAACGAACTCATCATGAGTGTATTGTTGACCATCTGGTAGAAATGGCTGCAAGAAATTGTTCACGTAGTCGTTGCTCCCTGCAAAAACGCAATTAAAAATATGGTTTCTTGTTCAAAACAATGGATGTGTAGATATAATTATAGAAAGGGAAGAAAGCGAAAGTAAGTGTTTGAATGCGAAGCAAGTGTACCCATCCCAATAAAGTACAAGGCTTCATTGCAAAGCTTGTTGGCGGCTTCTTGGCCAACTTTTGCCTTCATGATTTGTTTGCTTTTGTTGAAATTATTAATCTGGTCGTCAAAAGACATCCTCTGAATCTGGAAGGTTTAAGAAAGAGAAAGATTATAGTTAATGGTAATAAGTTTGATTAGGGGGATGTGAAGATGACTGATTTGAGTTAGAGCGTACGAAATAAAGGCCAGTATCATTCAGAATGCCAGCTCCTCCAGAAGCAAAATTGACCCCTTTAAGAAAAGCATCATCATTTGGAGACAATGACAAATATGGCGGTGGTGATGGGATTCCTAGCTTTTCTGCTGCAAAAGTCCATAAAAGCTTACCATCGCCAAAAAGGCTTAGCAACAAAAATTACTGAACTTCCAGAATAAATCATCCAGATTAGTTATTATATATAAACATATTGCATACAAGGAAAATCAATCTCTAGTACATAATAGGACTCATTATAGATTCCTCTATAACCTGAAGATGTAAATGGGATACTTTTTAAAACGTTTAGTCAGCTATATAATTATAAGTATTTAACCAGGTATATATAAAACCCTCTTCAGGTCTTCATATAATACTGACTCCAATTCTAAAAAGAGAAAAACAAAAGAAGAGGAAGCAAAGATAAGTGCACATAAATAAAATCTGAGTCACAAATAGTATGACTCATCTCAGACTCTCTACAGTGTATATCATAGAGTGAGTATCTAGTATGAACTAATTAAAGGAGAAAAACAGAAGAAGCAGCAACGAAAAGAGGATGAGATGAAGGGGAGAAACGTACAGATGATATCACCAATAGTTCTGCCATTAGAGAATCTTCCAGTTGGTTGGCCCCCAGAATAGTCAACGCCATACCAGGGATAGTTGGACTTTGCCAGAGAATACTGCAGATAGTTATTATTCCCCACATCTGTCAATGAATCCCCAAATACATACGTAACAGTATCTGCCATAGCCATGCTTGATGATGACAACACCAACACGGCCAAACACAGTCCTGCAATTTCCATCTTCATCTTCTCCAGCCTCTTCAGATACACCAGAAACTCACAGGCATTCTATAGCAGTCTCAGATATTTATGTTTACCTGTTCATGTATGCCTACTTCTCCAATATGCTTTATTAGGTGCCACTTTTCTAAACCACAAGGATTCTTGAGGAGCAAGACTAGTTATTAATGTGGTTTTCATTATTTATTCAGGTTAAAGTCATAAACTTTGTGTGGTTGTTGGCTTAGGTTTTTGAGTCTGCAATGTTAGTTCTGCTAGTTTCTTCATTGTGGTTGTACTCGTGCTTATATTTCTCTACATTAAATTTAACTTCTTGACGTTTTGTGAGTTAAAGTTATCTGAATTTTACTTAAAGTTTTCTCAGATTTTCCTAGGATTAATTAGATGGGAAGTGAAGTGATCTGATCAAGCAAACTAGACCATTGATGCTGATATGGAAATTGCATTCAAGATTGTTTACCAACCAGGCTATCAACTTGAAAATGTAAATCTAGAATCCTCAGAAGTAGGTTTGACCCTCCAAAAATTGTCAAATCTTCAATTTATTCTGTGAATTAAAGCTGCTACATTTGGTTTTATTAGGAATTTTGGGTAGTAATCTTCTACCGCATATTGAAGACCTTTTTGTTTTCTTAGGTAAAACTTTATGGTGGAGGGGTTTGATTCTTCGAAGATAAGTCTCATATTGGGTGAGAAACAGAGTGAAAACATTATAATTCTATATATAAAACGACATTGGAAATGGATCCATACTCGTTGGCCGCTACACTAGGGAACATGTTTTCATTTGTTTCCTTAGTATTAGAAAACTTATATTTTATATGGTAAAATTCATAAATATTTTTAGACATTATCAATTTTGTCTCTCATAAGCTTAATTATTATTATTATTAAAAAAAAATGGCACACACGCATGCGCACATAGCCAATAATATTAATTTTATAGATTATCAATGGTTTATAAAATGACTTCTCACAATTTTTAATATATTTACAAGAAGAGGAACATGCATAAATAGTTGAACAAGAAAGAATAAATGACTCACATACGTGCGCACACATCACATAATGTTATTCACACAACTTTAGACTTAATTTAGTTGCTTCTCCAGTACAATTATAGAGAGATAGACAAAATGATAAAATTCACCTATCATGGTTGTGCTTGATCAGTTTCAAGCACAAAAGCTAAATCTTATATTAAAACCATATTAGGTTTTTAAATTAGATTAATTATTGACTAAATTTATCTCGCATGCATTCATATTATTAATATCTTTAGTGTAGTTAAATTGTCGTCGAAGGCCAACAGCTTCATGTCTCAGTGGTATGAAAGTTCTTATATAAGTGAAATTTTATGAATTTGATTCTATTTTGTAATCTCAAGTTATAGATTATATATGTTTAAGTAAAAAGAAATCCTTGTTTAAAGAGTCATGCATTTTCTCATCTTGTTCTCTTTTTGTAATAGGATTATTTTTATTTAAAATATTGATGTATATAATTTAATAAATATCTAGACCATTTTGCTCCTTAGGAGATTAAAACCTGTGGTTTGAAATTTCAAGGGTTAAAATCAAAATTCATACAAACTTTAGGAATTAAAAATTATATTAACTCCTTTTTCAATTAAATATTAACTTTGGAGAAAACACGCATTGAATTATAAGGACCTAATAAAAAGGAAAAAAATTATAAGAACTTGATAAAAAAAACATGTGAAACTATAAGGGCTTAATAAAAAAAAATTATAAGGACATGATTAAAAACTAATTGAAACTGTAAGGACTTACATATTAATTATTCCTAAATCTATATATAAAAGGACATTGGAAATAGATCCATACTCCGCTACAAAAAAACAGCCAATTACTGACGGAATTAGTGACAGAATAATTTCTGTCACTAATTTTTGAGGGATTACCCACGAAAATTTCATCACTAAACTTAGCCACAAAATTAGCAACGGAATTTAATCCGTCGCTAATTAGCCATGGAATTTTTTCCGTCAGAAAATTATGTGGCTAAACTTTTATAATTAAAATTACCCATGGAATTAGCCACGAAATTCTTTCCGTCAGAAAATTCTGTGGCTAAAATTTTATAATTACGATTTGTGACAGAATACTTTTCCGTGGCTAAAATATAATATTTAATATAATATAATATAATAATATAATAAATATATAATTAATCATATGAATATTAAATAAAAGAATTAAATTTAAAAAATATATTTATGAAAAAAATTATTTACTACTTAAAATTCGAAATTAGTGTCATTGGAAATTAATATTATATTTAAAATAATTTTTTAAAAAATAAAGCATTATAAAATAAATAGTAAAACAAATATCTAAAAATTATTTTGTTACAAAAATAGTTATGATTAAAATTATCATATAGTTTATTTTTAGTTTCTAATAATATATATATGTATATATAATTATTTGTGTAAGGGAATATTATATATATATATAATTTTGCATAATAAGTCAGCAAATTTATTACAGTTCAACTAGTGAAATCACACACGTACACAAATGAGGTCTTTGGTTCGAGCAATGGAGAAGTCAATTTGAGGAGGAATATATAGTGGCGACATGTGACAATATAAGGTGGCATGTAAGATAGCAACATGTGGCGGCAGAGTGAGGTGGCAAGGACATGTGGAGATGAGGTCGTGATACGTGGCATGTGGATATGAGGTGGCAGTGACATGTGGCGGAGGAGGTGAGGTGGCA